GACATTTTAAGGATATTTAACTCTTACATTTGCGATTTATATGAATGACATACTGTGTCTTTTGCAGAAAATTGGCAGGTGTGTGTACAGTAAGATGCCACTGTCCATAGTATGCCGTCTTTTCTTCCTCTTTGCTGTAGTTCTAGAGATTTCTGCCCTGGGAATTGTAAGAGTGATGCATGGAGTAGGAACCAGTTTTATCAATTTATATTAAAGCTGTTTTCATATTACTCACAGTAAGAGAATTTCCTTCATGGTACCTGTTGTATGTTGATGGTGAAGATATAACAGCAGAAATCTACAGAGAAATTCCTTTGTAGTTTAGCATAAACATCTTTAAGTCTGCAAAATGACAAAATGATAATGTATTGACAATAGTTAACCAAATACAGTGTGGAGAGTGTTTAATAATAAAATGCTTAAAATAAAAGTTAACGGATTCTATACAACGTCTTGTACACATATTACGTCAAATGGTTAATCTTCAATACATTGAAGAAGGCCAAAAAAAACTAAATGTGTTTTGAAATAAAAATGCTTACCCCAATAAAACACATTTTAAACTTATTCCTTTATGACTGCAGCCAGGTGAAAGAACAGCTGCAATAATTAACTGAAAATGATCCCAGCTTATCTTAGCTCACCTGGCAAGTATACAGTAGCTGTAGAAATATTTGCTATTTTGGCTTCTAGTTTTGGTTTACTGTTCTGTATATTTGCACCCAAGTGCTGTGTCATTCTGCTGAAACCCAAGATGAATACAAGGAAACACTTGATGGGTAAAATACCAAAAAAGTCACTTCAAGAGATCTGAATATGAATGCTGAGTATTTAAAAATGGCTGGTTACTTAGAATGTACAGTAATGTAATTGTCTATATATAAATATAACCCATTTGTCAGTATCACTTTGACAGAGCATAGGGTAACGTTGTTGTAATGAAAGGAAAAAAGAGTGCATACTTTATGTACAAATTTAATCTTCTCAAAGGAAAACATAGAAGAACAGATTTCAGTACAGTCAGGCATTTCAAACAAAATAGTGACATTTTACACACATATTTGGCACTGTCCTGTCTTTTTTTCTTTCTTTAAATTGTAATGTTCTCGGATATCCAATCAGCATCATCAGCATATCTAATGTGCACTGTGTAAGCAATGCAAGTGTAGTCTGTACAGTATGTGTTGAATCCCAGTAGCTCATAATGTAGGCTTCCTGTCCCACAAAATCAGAATTGCAAACCCATTAATTGTTAATAATAATTCTTAATATTAAAGCTTTAAAGTTTTCTCTTTTCTCCTCTTTTGCCTCTGTTATGCAAAACATTGGCTTTTCTTGCAGTATCCTTCAAAATGTTTCCTTCCTTTAGGTGTCTTTGTACAGTAGGTACACAAAAAATTCTTTCAGCATCTTGCTAGACAATTAGTGGCTGAGTGTCTGAATGTCTCCAGTGATAGTTTTGAAAGTTTTCTGATATATAACTTGTTCTAAGATAAAATGGCAGTGCTGAATATCTGTTTTAAGTTATCAGCAATGTCTTGCATACTTTTTTTCCAATGGCAGATTTACAAGTGGCCACATATGATCCCATTATTTTGAAAGACTACAGAACAGTACTACTTTTTATATATGTGTGTTTTATAAAAAAGTTTAAAAATATTCTTGCCTTTATAAAATGAGCTGCAGTCTTTTAGAGATCTAAATGAGGATAAATAAAACAAAAATAGCTATTATTTTTTTTTCTAAGTTCATGTGTACCATTCTTCAATTCTTATGCCATCTGTATTTTTACCATCTTATTATCTGAATGAATTACTAATAAAGATAAATTCAAAATCCAAATGCACTTGCCTGATGTTTCTGTACACATTCCCTGCCTGATGCAGCCCTGTGCTTAAATCTGTTTGTCAGTGCAGATGAACTGTGTACTGCCTGTGCTCTTTACAGAAACTCTGTTGGACAGCTGGTCGCTGTTTCTTCCCATGGAACTCTACAGTCTATTTCTTTTTGTAGGGTCTGGATCTTCAGTTTATACATCCTTTTAATAATAAACCTGAATATCATTTTAATGAAGATGTTTATGTCTGATTTGTGTTTTACAATACTGGAGGTTTAAATGAAAGAAAGGAAATATAAAATTTGGAAACTACATTAAAAAACAGAGCTAATGTGACCACCATTTTGCTATTTTAGCTTCAAAATCCTCCAAAAAGTTACCTATATACATCTACTGATGCTCTCCTTAGTCAATAGTTGCATTTACTTTTGCTGTTGGACAGGAACTGGAGTCATCAGATGAAACCAAGGTTCCATCGGGTGTTTCAACCCTTATCCATAATACCCTCCTGCTGGCCAGTCACCAGTGATAGGCAATCAAAAGACTCTCTGTGGTCCTTAAAAAACCCAGGGCTTTCTCAGAATGAGTAGGGATGTTTGTTACCCTGGTTTCCTGGCCAAACTTCAACTAGGCCTTCACGGCCTCCTAAATATTCCAACCTATTATACTGTATGAACTGGCTTCATCACTCTGTTCTCCTCTCCACTAATAGCTGGTGTGTGCTGAGTGTATTGTCGCACTTTGGCTGCCATGGCATCATCCAGGTGGGGTTACACATGGGTGGTGTTGGAGGGGAGTCCCCATTACCTGTAAAACACTTTGAGTGGAGTGTCCAGAAAAGCGCTACATAAGTGTAAGGAATTATTATTATTATTATTATTATTATTATTATTATTATTAACTCCTCTTGCCTGTTCCAGAGCCCAGCATGACACTTTCTCTCTCCATTGCCTCTCCCAGCCTTTGAACTGCTGTCTTTTTGTCCCTCCCAGTCAGCCCAAAAGCTGTCAGCAACATTCACACTGACTGTGCAGGGAGTCATCCGTACCCAGCCTCCACTGGGAACAGTCATGTCTGCCACCCTTTCACTCTGCAGTCTTGAACTACAGTAGATCTTCATGTTTGAGACTTTTCTTCTCAAAAGCCTTCCCGCATCCTTTCTCTCACAGCCCTGTCAGCTCAGTGAAGATGATCTTTCTCACCTCATCTGGTTTAGGGATGCTTGTACAACCTCGGGAAACTGCAGACATCCCCCAAGTTCCACTTTCATGTGATATGATTGCGCTTAATGCAAGATAGTATCTTATTTTCCCTTATCTTTTATCTTATCTCCCTTATTTCTCTTGTCCACTTCTCACCCTCCCTGACAAATGCAACTGCTTTTTTAAATCTTCTATGAGATTGTCATTTCTTCTGCCTGTCAACATGGAAAGATACATGTTTTGTCAGTTTGTCACCAGGATATAGGGGACTGAATCACAGCATTCCAAAAATTTAATGAAAATGGTATTTATATAAAAAACAAATAAATTAAAAATAAATCAATAAATTAGATTTTTTTGTAACTGTAAATTAATTCTTATACTGTATATCTTTAAATGAGATTCAAGACCTGACTCCAGAATGTGAACCACATACAGTATCTGCACATTTTTTCTATATACCTACTGTATATAAAAAAGTTAAAGGTACCATAAACTTGCCGGTCTCATTAGAAACTGTACAATAGTCATAGAAAAGGCACAGCACCTCAAAGATGGGGTCTTAGTAGACATAAAACAGAAATGCAACTGAACTAAAGACAAAGTTTGGCAAGCATAATGAACATACATGAGAAGAAGTAATATCTCACTGCCAAACTAAGCTTCAGTGTGATGTTAATTTTTCCATGTCTACATGTTTTATGTGCCTTGCTTAATGGAAGTGAAAAAAAAAACGAGCCTGTTGTAATTGTAATTTCAGGTCAGTAGTCAAATCAAAATCTACTAACAGTGAATTGTCAAGTGCTAGAAAAGATGTAGAGCTGTCCATTCCTGAGTTTCACAAATACAAACTTTAATGGTATGGTGTCAGGATTGACTTATTTTCAGTTCTTCATTTTACACCCACTACCACCAAAACCAACTTATAGCAGCTTTTCTGCTCATCTTTAATTTGCTTAAATCTTGTTACCATGATCTTCCACTTTATTTTAAAAGAATATTAGAAACAAAAACTTTAAATGTACCACAGTAACAAAAGCAAAACATCAGAGCTTAAAAACATAACACTAAAGCATCAAACCTTTTATCATTTCTGCTTAACGCACAATGGGAGCTTCGCTTCATGAAGAATAAACATAAGAAGATTAAACACTGCAAATCCTTATTTTTGACTGCATGTTCTTAGACACCGGTCCTATGAGAATTTCCTCTGCTCTTATCAATTCTTTGAAGATGAACATGCGGGACCACCACCAGCAATCCCTGAGCAGTGGGGCAATACTCACTACTGCTGAGACAGAGCCGAGAAAACACATGGAGGGTGAAAGAAAACTCAAAGGGCACTGCACAACTGATTGCAAAAGGCAGCTTCCCTTTCCTGCCATTCATTGGATGGGATGTCATCATTTGTAAATAATCATATGAGAGCTCATTGCTCCTCTGAAGCAGTAAAAGAAGCAAATGGGCAGGTACTGTATGTGCTACAGTGTATTGCGCTGAAGGAAAAATAATCAAAGGGAGTCCCCAACCTTAACTATCGCTCCACTTGATTTCAAGTTTATTAACCACCCTGGAGACCTCAATACACAATATAAAGACCATAGAGTATGACATGCCTCTACTTAGGAAGGGGTGTCTATAAGTGGTCTAGAATGTCATTGACAGCTACAATATTGACTGTGGTTGTTGCTGTTTTCACATTAGCAGAACAACCCATCTGCAGGCTTCAAGGAAGAACAGCATTTCCACATCTATCAAAAGAAGGGGACATCATGATCGGGGGAGTGATTCAAATTCACAGCAACACTGAAGAGAAAAAGCATTTCTTTAAAACTGAACCAAATCCTACAAAATGCAAAGGGTTTGTTTTAATTCATAAATGCTTATTTTTATATACATTTTGTCATTTTTAATTTGTTGAAAAGAAGTATTGAAACAATAAACTCTTATTTTTTTTCTAGCTTCCTCATTGGAGAATTTCAGTCAGCACAAACAATAATCTTTGCTATTGAAGAAATAAACAACAGGACAGATCTTCTTCCTGGCATTTGTTTGGGATATAAGATCTATGACACATGTGGTTCAATACCTTTAGCTATAAGAGCAGCTTTGGCTTTAATGAATGGAAATGAGGAAACTCTTTCTAACACCTCCTGCTCCAGGCCAACTGCTGTTCAAGCTATAATAGGAGAATCTGCCTCAACACCCACTATTGCGATGTCAGCAGGAGTTGGACCTTTTCGAATCCCTGTGGTGAGAATCTTAATCATTCTACTTATTAAAATAATAACGTCCCTTGAAATGTACTACTGAAAAGGCAATGGTAATAGCTTTTCAAGTGACTAATTGTCCTCTTAAAAATGATTTAATGCATGTTGGGAATGTTAAAAAATTTATTCAGAAGCTCCTTTAACAAACAAACCCAAATCATTAATAGAGCCCATTTTTAAACAATGACATTTTCTCTTCTTTACAGATCAGTCACTTTGCTACCTGTGCATGTCTGAGCAATAGAAGAAGATTCCCTTCATTCTTCAGAACCATCCCCAGTGACTATTATCAGAGCAGAGCCCTGGCTCAGCTTGTGAAGCACTTTGGATGGACCTGGGTTGGGACCATAAGAGTTGACAATGATTATGGCCACAATGGAATGGCTACTTTTGTGGAAGCTGCAGAGAAGGAAGGAATCTGTATTGAATATTCAGAGGTGGTTCATCAGTCTCATTCCAGGGAAAGAATTCTTAAGAATGTAGAAGTGATCAAAAAGAGCACTTCAAAGGTTATTGTTGCCTTCTTAGAGCAAGGGGATGTAATTGTTTTGATTAAAGAATTATCCCTTCAAAATGTAACTGGTCTCCAGTGGATTGGCAGTGAAGCCTGGATCACTGCTAGTGATGTTTCAACAGCAGAAGGTTATGAAGTTCTGACTGGATCTATGGGATTTGCTGTCACTAAAAACAAAATTGATGGATTTAGAGAGTTTTTATTGAATGTGCACCCATCAAAATCTCCGGGCAATGCTCTCTTAAATGAATTTTGGGAGACTGCATTTAATTGTACTCTGAAAAACAATGACAATGCCAAAAAACTGTGTACAGGGTTGGAAGATTTAGGAGAATTAAAAAATGGATATGCAACAACGTCTGAGGCTAGAATATTCAATAATGTGTATAAAGCAGTGTATGCTGTTGCATATTCTCTTCATAATTTACTTCAATGCAAGAAAGGTCCTTCTGCCAATAGCTGTGATAATTCAATTCAAATTGAACCATGGCAGGTGAGGTAAATTTTATTTTCACAATGCATTAAGGCATTTACTGTATATACCTAGTTGTAATAGAAACACTTTTAACACAAGATTAATATTTCCATTGTCACAGGTACTTGAGCAACTGAAAAAAGTGAACTTCACAACTAAGACTGGAGAAAATATATTTTTTGATGGCAATGGTGATTCAACAGCAAGATATGACTTAGTGAACTGGCAGCTTGTTAATGGGAGCACCATTCAGTTCATGACCATCGGTTACTATGATGCTTCACTGCCAGCAGGTCATCAGATTGTCATGAATCAAGTTAAGATGGTTTGGACAGGTGGGCAACTTGAGGTGAGCATAGGGTATTCTGAGAAGAAAAAGTACACTTTGCTGTAACAGGTTTATCTCTTGTCTTACAAGAGTATCTTTAGAAACGTGGCTCACTCTTCAGACAGAACCTAATAATATAACCAGTAAGTTTATAAGTAGTTTATAAGTATATTATTTAATATTCCAAATTAAACAGAGAATAAACAAGATACCTTTTGTAACCAGCAAACTTTATAACATATAGAAGATTAAATCTTTAAAATACAATGTACTCAAAACTGATACAATCCAGTGGAAAACAGTGAAGTATCATACAAAAGAAATTCCTTTCATGTAATTTTCCTTCTAAACTTCAATGTTAATAAAGTTTTTCATTAACAATGCATAGAAGAAAAAACTGATAGCTAATATACTATTTGTAAATATTGTAAAACATGATTGATCAAGTATTTTGTATTATAATATTTTTAATGAAGAAAATTATAAGAATAAATACTATTGTGCTACTCATTTTTATTTTAATAATTTAGTATTTCATGGAAAATATTCTGTATTCTGTAAGCATAACTTTGCAAAACATTATTTTTCCACCACTAAAAATTGTTTTGTTCTTGTTCTGCAGAAGCCTGAGTCAATGTGCAGTGAGAGCTGTCTCCCTGGCACTCGAAAGGCTGTTCAGAGAGGAAGGCCTGTGTGTTGCTATGATTGCATTCAGTGTGCTGAAGGAGAGATCAGCAACACCACAGGTAAATGTTAGTGCATTCAAAATGATATATGAAATTCCTTACTCTGCTTCTTATCTTCAGCGACATACTGTATACACCACATTATATGTAAATGTAGGAAAGACATCAACCAATTAATTCTTTATTTTTAGATTTCTTTCACAGTAAAGCAAGAATATAAATAAAATTGGCCAATGCCAAATTGCAAATACAATTTTAAATTACACCATGTCTATGAACATTCCCAAAAATCACATCAGGTGTGACAGCTGGAGAAGACTCTACAGCTGCAAGTTGTGTTTCCTCTATTTTTCTGTGTGGAATTAACCTTAACTTTAATTTGAACCTATAGTATGCATGCTGATACAGCACACCACTTGAACAACCCTAAATATCTGTATCTGTTTTTCTTTGCAGATTCTAATGATTGCATCCAATGTCCTTTGGATTATTGGTCAAATGAGAACCGAGATGAATGTGTAATAAAAATAATAGAATTCCTGTCTTTTGAAGAAATCATGGGAATACTGCTCATGATATTTTCTCTGGCTGGTGCTTTCTTAACCATATGCATAGCTTTAGTCTTCCTCAAATATAAAGACAGTCCAATTGTCAAAGCCAATAACTCTGAATTAAGTTTCCTTCTGCTCTTTTCATTGACTCTCTGTTTCCTCTGTTCACTTACTTTCAT